AGGTCCTGGGTGGGACGGTCCTGGGTAGGACGGTCCTGGGTGGGGAGGTCCTGGGTGGGGTGATCTAGGGCTGGGAAGGTCCTGGGCTGGGTTGGCCCTGGGCTGGGTTGGCCCTGGGCTGGGTCGGCCCTGTGTGGAGGTGCTCGTTAGGTGTTGCTCGTGGGTTCTGGGCTGTGCAGCCATGCTCTGGTGACCCTGAGGCAGCAACACTGGAGACGCCACAGTCTGCCCTGGGCCCCTGCATCTCCTGATGGCCACTGGTGCATAGACTTCTCAGCAGGCCCCGAGGAGCTGGAAGGGGTAAGGGGTGGTCAGAGCTCCCTCTGGTTTGAGGGAAGAGTGCATTTCACAGCCGGTTGTTGAGGTCCACAGTAGCTGCTTTGATTTGCAGTTGGGTATCTCAGAGCTCCTGCCCCCGTGTGTGTTAGAAGTTGTCTGATCAATTCTGCACCCACCTGGTGGGGCTGGTGCCCAGACTCAGCACAGGAACAGAGGCCTGAGTTCCACACAGGCAGGAGAGGGACCTGGCTCTGCTGGTCGTGGGGAGGCTGGTGAGAGCAGGTCATGGCCGACTGCAGCCCTTCAGAGGTGGGTGCAGCTGCGTGGTCGGGGGCTGTGGAGTCTCAAGGTCACATCCCTAGGAAGCCAGGCAGGTGAGCTGGCTCTGGGGGCAGCTGGGGTACCTGGTGCCAGTGCATGGTGTGACGGGGTCTGCTCATTCTTGGGGCCTGTCCCCTGTAGGGATGTGGAGCACCCGAGCCTGCCTAGTGGGGTCTCACTAGCAGGAGACTTCCAGACCTCTGGTAGGGATGGACGCTGCTCTTGGTCAGGATCCTAGTTCAGGGAGGGAGTGAGGGCCTCGTCCCTAGAGATATTCAGATGGCAACAGAACTCCTGGAAGGGGCTGGGTTCCCTTCTTCCAGGACCTCTGACTTGTGTGCTGGTTTGGGGGACATGGCTGGATGCATGTCCTGTCCCCAGTGACCCTGACCAGGCCCTGTCCTAGTCGTGAAGGTCATGTGATGGTCATGATTCTGGAAGGTGGCACTTCAGCCCAGGAGGTGGGCTGGCTGCAGTCCTGGCTGCCCCCGGGTGCCAAGCCCCTTCCCCCAGAGCCGGGCCCTGGCTGCCCATCCGTGGGGCCTGTGGGGATGAGGCGGACTGAGACTGTCCTGGGGTTTAGGGACTGTGTGAAGCACTGGGCATCCAGACCTCCGCTACTCGCCGTGGTCGACAGTCTTCCCCCAGGCCAGTCCCGAGCTCTGGATCTACCAGGAGGAGGCCACGCTAGAAGGCCCAGTCCTCCTAAGGGGCCGCCTCCTGCCTGGGAAGGCGTCCTCTGTGCTCACGGGGCCCGGCCTGGGCATTTGGAGGGAGGCTGGCTTGGGTCCAAGTCAGCGGGCCAGCCTGAGTGTGGGCGGCAGGGCCTCCTCCGCTCGCAGGAGAATGGAGCCTGTGAACTTGCTGCCTGGCGTTCGAGGGGCCCCCCACGGGACCCTCAGGAATTTCGAGGAGAGGAAATGGGAGAACTCTGGACAGAGCCAATTGTGTGTCCCTGGGGTCCCTATGCTGCAGTGTGACCCTGCTGCGGCCTCTGGCACCTTGGCACACTGGGGGACAACCTGCTGCTGGAGCAGGCCTGGGGCGCCATCCCCAGCACTTTGCTGGTGGGTTCCTGACTCCTGACCTTAGACACAGGGCCCAGCACTGCTGGTCCAGGGGACTGTCCTAACGGCTGCAGGGCATCTCCCGGGGCCCAGGCTGGCCTGACAGACTTCAGTCCCAGCCAGCAGACAGGGCTTAGCTGCAGGCCACAGGGGCAGCCGGGAAGCCCCGACTGGCAGGTCAGGCTGCCCACGTGGCCTGAGAGGTCCGTGAGCACAGGCTACGGTCCGTCTTCTGTGCTGGGTGTGTTCTTTCCGACACAGGCCCTCCGTGGGTCAGGGTGGACGTTATTCCCCTCTGCTCTTCCCTGGCCCCGCCTCAGCCTGGCCCCACGGCAGGGGCTAGCCCCCACAGCTCACTCAGGACTCCGCACACCAGTGACCCTTCCCCAAAGGCCTCTTGCCCATGAGCCTGTCTGCTGCCCAAGGTCCCTCCTCTGTGACTGTTGCCTTCTGGGGAGCAAACCATGCCCACACGTTGGCCAGGGTCAGGGTCTCTAGAGAAGAGACAAGGCCCCGGGCCCAGACCACAGCCCCGGTGTCCAGCCTCTGCCTGGCATGGTGGGTGTTCCGGTCCATGGAGGGTCAGGGTCTCCTGGAGTCCCTCCTGTTTCCAGCAGTGACCAATTCCCCTGGATATGAGGTGTGTCTGCTGCTCCCAGCTCCTGATACCCCAGCCCCTGGGACCTCAGCCTCGGGGAATCAGTGCAGGCCCAGGAGCCATCGTCGACAGGACGGCCCGTGACCTCCTACCCTGGCCTCACTGGGAAAGACAAGAGGAAGTAGGAACAGGTGTCTGTGGCTGCGTCCCCAGCCTGGGCTCCCGCGGCAAGGCTGCTCCCTGAGGGTCTCAGGTCAAATGGCAGAAGCTCTTGACTCCAGGCAGGGCCAAGTGGGCCTGAGCGTGGAGAGTGGATGAGCGAATCATGGGGCGCTGGGGACTCAGGGGACAGTGGGGCAGTCCCTGGGAGTCTGCCTGCCCCCGTGGGTGATGGCGGCACCCCAGTGAGAATGGCCACCCTGCCTGGGGCGCCCGCCCAGCGCCCCGCCAGTGTCGCCACTCCATGTCCAACTCCCAAGCCGGGGGCAGGATTCCTGTGCTGCGGCTTCCGCTCAGAAGCCAGTGAGCCGGAGAGCAGCAGCCCCGTCCACGCCCTGCGTCCCCAGGAGTCTCTTGCTCCCAGGCCGGTTCCCAGCGCAGCTCGCCAGGGAGCGGCTGGGTCTTGTCCCCGCTCCCTTCTTACCCAGGGAGAGGTCGGAGCCAGGGGTGTGGGGGGGCTGCGTCCTAGCTCCTCACCCTGTCTGTGTCCCCCGCCCGTGGCCGCCATGCCCCCTGCAGACGTTGTTTTGGTCTGGATGAGCTAGGTGATGTCCAGGAGGTGCTGGGTGACAGAGCCCAGAGGACAGGACGGGCAGACGTCGGGAGGCCCTCGGACCTCGTCCCCCTGTGCCTGCCCGGCCTGCGCGCCCAGCTCCCTGCCCCCTCATGTGCCCCCTCACCCCGTGTCCTCCTCTTTGCAGACAGTGTCCGTGAGGAGGTGGGGCTGCCGCAACTCCTTGGAGAGCCCTCGCCCCAGCAGATCACCCAGATCGAGGACCCCGACGTCGGGCTAGCCTATGTCTTTGGACCAGACACCAACAGTGGCCAGGTGGCCCGGTACCGCGTGCCCAGCCCCTTCTTCCCTGACTTCTCGCTGCTGTTCCACATCCGGCCGGCCTCGGAGGGCCCCGGGGTGCTGTTCGCCCTCACGGACGCGGCGCAGGCCGTGGTCCTGCTGGGCGTGAAGCTCTCGGGGGTGCATGATGGGCACCAGGACATCTCACTGCTCTACACCGAGCCGGGCGACAGCCAGACCCGCACAGCGGCCAGCTTCCGCCTGCCTGCCTTTGTGGGCCAGTGGACACGCTTTGCGCTCAGCGTGGACGGCAGCTCTGTGGCTCTGTACGTGGACTGCGAGGAGTTCCAACGGCTGCCGTTTGCTCGGTCTCCACGGGGCCTGGAGCTGGAGCCTGGCGCTGGCCTCTTTGTGGGGCAGGCTGGGGGAGCCGACCCCGACAAGTTCCAGGTAGGCCCTTCCGTCCTGCCTGTGGGGGTGGACCAGCTGGGACAGGGCCGCAGGCCTCTTCTGTCTGGTGCTGCAGCCGGAGGAGCCAAGCCACCTCCCGCCCAGGGCCAGCCGGTCTCTGGGGCCGGCCATCAGGTCCCTGGTCCTCCTCTGGCCATTGTTGCCTTAGAAGGGTCGCCTGGGCCTTTGAGTTTCTCTGAGACCCTGGGGTCCAGCCGAGGAGGGCTTCTGAGGACCATCTCACAGTGGGATGCCCACCCACCACAGTCAGGGGCCCCTTCTCAGGCGTGGGCTGGGACCTGCAGTGGGCTGAGTCCAGGCTTGGTCAGGTGGGTGCGTGGCCAAGTCCAGGCCCAGCCCCGAGCTGCAAAATGGAAGTTCAGTGGCCCTGGCTAAAGAGCCCTCAGGGGTTTGAGGCTGTGGTGACCTCAGGCATCGCCCTCCAGGAGGGCACACTAGGGGTGGACGGTTCACCCGCGGTTGTGGGCTGGTCATTGTTTTAGCAGATGTGCAACAGCCCAGCGTGGGGTTAGCTGGAGTCCCTGTCTCCTGTGGGTGACCCCAGCGGGCACTAACCACACCCAAGTTCCAGTGCTCCAGACAAGCGTCCCTGTGTGTGCTAGTGAGGCCACGTCCCCAGGGACAGAAAGTCATTATGGACTGACAAGGGCCATTTGTCTGACGTTGTTCAGAGGCCTGGTGTCTCTGGCTTTGAAAGCTGACCTTTAGCCTTTGGCAGGAACTTCTAGCCCCCAGGGCTCAGGAGCCGCCGGGACTTTGACACCAGCTGGGCCTCTTTGTGTTTTCCTTTCGATGCTCACACTGATTGGGGAAGATCAGAGAGCAGTAGCTCTGGCCAGGACAGTATGTGGAACACCTGCCCAGGCACAGCTGGGTGGCTGGAGTGTCCCCTGAGTCTTGTGCATCTTTCACACCCTAACAGAAAAGATGCTCATGGGACCTGGGGCACAGGCCGTGGAGCGCACACCACGTCCCACGGTGCCCAGCGAGGCGGCCTCGTCTCTGGCCTCGCCAGCACTGTGTGAAGCAGGCGGCCAGCGGCACCTGAGTGTGTCCACTTCTTGGACTGGTGGTGGAGGCAAACTTTTATATTGTTTCCACCAATTTGTTGGCTATTTTTACTTCCTTTTTTTGGTGACTGACTGTTAATGTTCTTTTGTGGGGAGTAGGGAGGTCCAACCATTGATTGATTTGTACAACCTCGTCATGTGTGAAAGAAATTGGTCCTTGGTCTCGTGGCTGTAAATCTTATTTCCTAGTTTGCCATTAGCATCTTTGAGTTTTAAAAACCATTGGGATGTTTAAAGGATCTATTCTGGTCTGGGAAGACCCTGTGACTAGCAGAACCTTTGATGGTTGGAAGGTGGAGGTGGAGGGGTTCCGGGTCCTGCATCTGGCAGAGGGGGGCTCGCTTTGGTAGAAGACAGATTTGGTTTGGCACAAGGTACGTTCAGACTCTTGGGAAGGGGTCATCTGAGTCGTGCGATTGACAAGGTTTGGCAGAAACAAGCTCAGAGCTGTGGGGCCCAGGAGGCTGGGGTTCCTGGGAATCCCCTCTGGACGAGGATACGGCCCCTTCTGTCACCGGGGCCTCAGAGAGTCCAGCTGTGCTGCGAAGCTCCCTCCACACAGTGCAGGGCCTGGACAGGACAGCCAGGCAGGACGCCCAGCACGCAGGGTCCTCACTGAGCTGCATGGTGGAGTCAGAGGGGTGCTGAGAAGGACTGCAGGACCACAGGAGAGGCAGCCAGAGAGGCCGGCTTTGCAAACCGAGCTGTGCCTGGTGGCCAGAGCCACCCAGCTGGGAAGCAGAGAGCAGAGGAGACCTGGCTGCCCTACTGCAGCTGAGACCCCCCAGCCACAGAGGCATGGGAGCACCAGGGAGCACCAGGGAGGCATGGGAGCACCAGGGAGGCATGGGAGCACCAGGGAGCACCAGGGAGGCA